CTTGGAGGAGGGCTGTCATTGGCGGAGACTACTTACGTCATATGAGTGGCACGATTATGTGCCTGTGGCGGGGAAGCTGCGTGGATTAATTAGATCTTCATCTGCAAAACAACCCAATATTCAGTAAGAAAAACACTATGTCATCGTAGAGGGGCAATAATTCAGACCGAGTTATGTGTGGAAAAACGGCCACGCACTGTTTTTTTAGGACCTATTTATATGCTGTAGGCTGTAGCAATGCTCTCCTCTTGCATATTTTCTGTCCACAACTCGTAGGCGCCATGTCATTATGCCCCGTACAAAGCTGTTTAAAACGAGTTAGGCAATCTCTAATGGAGGCTTACGTTTAACTGCCTCGGACGAAGGAGGTATAAAATGCCTCCATCGGGAAGGTGATAAATTAGCATCAATGAACGCCGCGAATGGTCGTTGATTTGATGAATAGTTTAACAAGTTGTAAAGAAATATAAAAACGGTTCCTATATGACGAACTGCACCGAATATTATGTTCGGGGCCCAGCGATGCTAGTACACTCTTTGTAGCTGAGTTTGAAGCACAAAGTCACACATATTGTATATAAATGTGAGCGGATTATTTCACGAATGCTACGGGAAAATTGTGTGTTTTAAACTTTTTTGGCCAACAGATTGCAGCATCATGACATTAAGCTATTTGCGTTCCATCATCGAGATTTTCTTGCTTTTCATCGAAAATGTATTGTCTTGTTTTTTTTTCATATCAGAGATACTTGTTCACCATGACTAACAAATGAAAAGAACAGTGTTGCTTCTGCTCTAATTTCCCAGCGTTGCTATGGAGTATCTAAGACTATTGTCCATGTACACAAAAGGAACTTTCCCTTTAAATTCATTCACAAAAAATGCCACTTTATTACGATCTAGGCCAATCCACACTAAAGATATATACATATATAGATAGATACCGATTTAACAACATTATTTTTCGGTAATTTGTGCGTTGTTACAGCCATTAATGAAGGGGCTGCTCCTTTTCAAAGTGTGTAGTTTTATTATATAACAGATGTCCACTGATATAACAAATCGTAAAGAATTTCACCCCAGTTCAGCACATAATAACCATGTCTTTGATCGCTTTAATCGGTGACTAACGGAGTTGGATCAATGGAGTCACTCTGTCTTCAAGACCGAGAGGAGGGCGTAACCTCCTTTCCGTTATGACTGCCTCAACCCACGTTCTAGCAATAATCATGTCGTTCATTGTATGTATGCTTTACATTATTAGACCTACAGAGTCTTATGCTAAATGTCGTAAAATGTCGTCCATGGAGTATATATGGATATACTACAGCTGCCAGACGGACGGATTATCTCGGTCAAGGTCAAATGTTCAATAAAGTATTTGCACGTGACGTCATAGCCACCCCGCAAGTCAGAGGCCAATCGATTTGGTTGTGAATGATGTCATAGTTAGTACGTGACTGTAGTGTAAGATACGGGTTAAAATTTCCCTGGTGGCCTCCGCGTTTAACCATCCAACATGGCGGGCAACACTGACGTCATGATCACGTGAGTGCAAAGACCCCATGCAGCGGATTCAAACACATCTGTGAGCACAAAACATTTTCGTGTCAATGGATTAGGCGCGTTCACTTCAATTCACATAGAATCTGATAAAATAAAACCGTTGCGTGAAATTCTTGTCTCGTAAGCTTGAGTTTCCATACTCTGTCCTTGGTGCTGAGAGTACAAGTGCTGTCTGTTGTACTTGAACATGTGACGCATTACTAATAGTAATAGGTAGGCCTCTACGAAGGAGATACTTTTTTCTACCAGCGCTACTTTGTATGTTTGTGTACCTTGAATTATAGAGTATAAGCATTGTGTGAAATTCTCGTTCCGTACACGGGAGCTTCTTCTAATCCTGTCCTTGGTGCTGAAAGTACAAGTGCTGTCTGTTGTACTTAAACGTGTGGCGTCGCATTGCTAATAGGTAGGCCTCTACGAAGGAGATACCTTTTACTACCAGCGCTACTTTGTATGTTTGTGTACGGTAGCCTGTAGAATAACAGAAGGAAATTAAGCAATGAATTTTCATGATTTGTCTGTGACGGTAAGATACAAGCCTCAGAAAGAAGTGATTAAATCGATAAGTATCGAGAGACGGTTGTGGGTTGCATGTAGGATTAAGGTTATTCAAAGGGCATCAGGCGTAGGCAGCGTAGTATATCGAAATTGCCTGTTTCCCTGATAAAGTGACAATACAAGGTCATGAACTGTGAGAGCTAGGCCCAGGAATACTCAATTTGCATGGTGAGGTGGTAACTTTCTTCACACTCTGGAGTTTCACGTTGCTATTCAGTGGGTGCTTTATCTTGCTTGATTTTATCGACCGTTATCAACATGCGCATCCACTGCCCTGGAAAGACACTTTCTCGTTGCCAACAAACTCTTCTGGTTGGTTCAATGTAACATAATAGGTAAGTTAGAAGCACACTCAACTTCGGGGAAGTGTGAAAAACTAAAATAACAAAGTCCAGAAGACGGTCACGATTTGCTCAGAGATTTACACACAGAAGAGGCAGGATTCATCGCGATAGCAGAATGTACATCCGCTATACGTCAGATAAGATCGACGTCTACACTTCACGGCGGCACCAGCCTCATCCAATACCGACGTTGATATCAAAATAGACATTTCCGCGTGACATTATCTGCCGTTTGTGCTCTGGTAGCTAATGCAGGATAGATGGCATTAG